AGAGTCGGCCAAACAGACAGACAGACAGACAGACAGAGAGACAGATAGACAGAAAGATAGTCAGACAGACAGACAGACAGAGTGAGTAAAAAGAATACGTGATAGAACAAGAGAGCGAGCTAGTGAGGCAGCAAATCCGTTATAGAGAGTACATGTAAGCGTAAAAATTGACTGAGCGAGTAAGGGAATGACTGAAGTTGGCGGGTAAACCAAATGAGTGAGTGAGTGAGTGAGTGAGTGAGTGAGTAAATGAGCGAATGAACGAATGAAAGAGCTGAAGAAGAAAAGAATTCTCATACTACTCATGGTCTTACCCGGGTGCGTAGAGATGGAAACGTTCTCCTTGTCTATGAGTACACCGAAAAACTTGCCGGACCTCACCAAATTTTTGACAGCACCTGCGGCTTTTGGTACTTCATCCTTCTCAATGACAAAGCGGAAACTGATTGTACTGGAGCTGTGGAACAATAAAAAAATGAAGGTGTTTTTATGCCCCCTACAAACGTAATTCAGATAATAATTTTAGGAGGTGGGTTTTGACTCTGCCTGTTAGTGTAAGGGCTGATCCGGGCTGAGAGGAGTACATACAACGAGTATAACGTCCCTGCAGAAAGACGGCGTTGATCTACATATATAAAAGTGGGCTTAGGAGGCTTTGTGCACAAACTCCTCCCTTATTACCTAACCCACACCTTTGAAACTTTGCAGGCGTCCACAGTATCCATGTGGCTAGGACTTAACTTCAAAAAATCCACGCAAACTGCTTTCCCTGATTTTTCCAAAATGCTTTGTTTTGTCCACACAGAGTCCTACGTCTAGGCTAACTTACGAACAACAATTTCGCAGTCTCATTTTTTAAGAACTGGAAGTGAGGTTTCCGTTCACCTGCCGTGCGCACTGTTTTCACACCTTTCAAATTATTGAGTGTACAACCATGTAAGCAGAATAGAGAATCAATCTATACATCTATTATATATTTGGCAACTTGGAAACACATGTGTCACTTTTCTCTCAAGATTTATTGCTCCATTCTAGTAGAGTGTGAATGTAGTAGGCCAATGACTTTCAGTTGATGTTAATGCACTGATCATTCCTTGCTTCTAAAGGGGGCCCAGCTAGTACTCGAAAAAAATGCTCCCTACTGCACGGGGATTGAACTCGGGTCCCCTGAGAGCTACGGTGAAGGGTCTAACCGCTACACCACAGATGCCTACGTTGTGGAAGCATTATACAGACATGATAACCAAAGCTGTTAATGAAAAATATAACTTTTGATTGTACCGCTGGCCTTGGAAACAATTGTAGACTTCTGAGTGGCCATTGTTTTTTTGTATGAAATGTCAGTTGAAATCAAGGAAATATTTTGCAAACCCACAAACTTTCTTTAAATTCTGTTACTTCCCTCAAAATGATCGACGAGCCTGGTTCAAAGGTTCTGCAACCAGCGGCAGGCTACAGTTATGGTCAGAACATTTTCAGGCAAGTGTTTTATTTAAGACTTAAACCTCGCAATACAAGTAAGAGACGTACAGTATCTGATATCGAAGACGAGGCAAATTTGTCGGTCAGAAATTCTCGTACTTGTAGTCAGTTTGATACATCATGGCCCTGAGTCTCAGTTCATGAACTCGGAGAAAGAAATTTAGTGTGCTCAATACTTTTCGACTCTGCGGTATACCTGTGAGCATTTCAGAGACTAAGTACAGTCGAGCATGCTCCCCCGGCCACCTGTCTAAGACAATCAACTGTACAGACGGCCATTTCCCATTTATACGCTTGTGTATTTTTTACATTATAATGGCACTGTGCTAGACCGACACCTGTCTAAGACGGTTACTTCAATGGAAGGCCGTCTTAGATATTTTCGACTGTATTTTCCATTTGGAGTACAGAGAAACTTATTGGAGCGACAGTGGTCATTCAGCGCAGGGAAAAAAGCAAAATCGACCGACAGAAACATCACAGGGAACGAAAGGGATTATTTAAAAAGTCGGACCAAGCAAAGACGTCTCCCAACCTCTGGTTAAAATGTGTGTTGAGGATAGGAGCAAGAATATTAAACAGCCTTCAAAAGGCTTAATCTCTTCTACCTCGATGAATTTAATTTGCGATTATGATAGCGTCCGGTTTTCTTATGACAGCGCTAGAGAAATTGCGGGTTTCTTCAAGGAAACAAGATGCAATCACCGAATTCAGCATCGATTTTCTCTTAAGAGCTCTTAATCTAATCCAGACGGGACGGGCCTGGTTACAGAATGTCTGACAGGTTGGGTAAAAGTTTAATGACCCTCAAAACCACAATGAAGACATTCATAAGAGACTTGGCCTCTTGCTAAATGTCTATTTCTGAGATGACAAGCCAAGCGGATGGAAAACCTCAGAAAAAGGTAATTGATTGAGAAAAAAAAAACTAAACAAAAAGCCCAGCAACCTCACCCCCCCCCAAAAAAAAAGGCTGCTTCAAAGCATTTTCAAATGGGGGAATCTCGCACGACAGCTCAGAAAAAATATCAGCTAAGCAAAAGGCAAGCTTACT